TCGAGAAAGCAGAGGATGCAGACAGCCGTTTTCTCAAACTGCAGGACACAACACCTGTAAATAACAGCTTGGTCAAAGACCCAGGCTCAAACAAGTGACCATGTTTATCTGAATTAGGTCACCAAGAGTTACTTTTGCAGACTCAAGTTCACTTCTGCAGCTCACTCAGCACTCCAACCACCAGCACGTAACTAGCTGCTGAATTTTGACAAGACTAACACGAAGATATAGAAAACAAGAACCCTCACCACAAAGGTAACACAGCAATGCTGGTGCAGGAAGCAAAGGCTGAGTCAATTTTTTTTCAAATTTTGTTGTACTTTTGAGCCCTAAGAACAACACTGTAGTTCATTTCAGATTACTCCTTAAAGCAACTAAGAGCCATTTCGAGAATGGCAAAGTATTTTCATGCCCAGCACCTTTCTTCAAACTGTATAAACCTAAACACTGTTGCAGCAAGGGTCATCAGCTGCAAAGGCCATGGCAAACTGGAAACCTACTTTTACAACCATGTAACAATCTCTCTGCTTGAAGTCTTTCCCTGGATCTTGCAAAAGCTGAAATTCAACAACTGCTGGTGTGCTTGTACCCATGGTTCATTTTCAATAATACAGTCAAGCCTCATACACACAAATATAGCTTAAAGTGTTTATACATTCATTCCCTACCAGACATTGTGAATGTTTTGTACTAGACTTCAGAATACTGGGTTATTGCCCATGAGCAAGATTGCAAGTGCATGTTGGCCAGTTACTCTCACTTTGCTCCTGCTGCAAATGTGAGCAGCTATAATAAACCAACCTGGGACTGACTGGGGCAGAAAAGAGCCATGCTAAATCCAAACCCAGGCCCTGGCTTGTTGGCCCTCTAATAAGGCTGGTTTTAGATGCCAACTTTAACCTTTGACTTCAAACTCAAGCTTGTTAAGAGAAGCAACAATCCAGGCATTCCAGATCAGACGTAATGGATGACTTTTCTGACCTTGTAAGTTCATAGGTAGATTAGCTGGTCCTGTCTGCAGGATAAGCAAGACAGGAATACTTGGGCAGTGTGCATAATTTTGGATTAACAGGGCCAGTTAAAATAAACCTCAGATCTATGAATACAGATATAATGGAGAGATCTGATAGCATTAAAATGAAAGTGGAGCTTGATTTTCTCTTTTCACACATGAAGGACAGGGGAGTACATTAATTTGAATTCTGAAGATCCTGGATGTGAATTTTCAGCTCTGAGAAACCGTGCCCTCATGGGCCCAAGCAATTCCCCATCTTTAAAATGGAAATTATTTGGCTGTTGGGAGGATGCAAAGTTAGTATATATCACTTTCAACACTCAGACATGATGGGAAGCCACAGTTTTTCACTCACTACAAGAACAAGCCTCACACTCATACATGCCAACCCCTCCTCTTTTTGTGCCATGGCAAGATTGAAAGCTTCTGTTTTTAGTTTTAAACTTCTTTGTGACATCTGAACTTGTCTCAAGTTTTTGAGACTCAAGTTTTTAAAAGCATGGTTAGCAAGGAAAAAACAGGAATAAACTATGATTTTATATTATAGCTTATTCTCCCTAATCATAATTTCAATAAGCCATAACTTAAATTTAGTTGATGCAGAAAATTGTGGTTAAAAACTGAAAGCAGAAGCTTTCAATCCCCTCCCAAAGGGCACGAGAGAAAAGAGCGTACAAGTCTGATGCTCTCCAGAGTCTTTTCTTCCAATAATAGAGCTACAAGCATGGTTTATAAATTTAATAAATAAGGAGATTACGGTTTTCCACTGCAGTTGAACCAAGCCTAAATAGTAATAAGCATGCGTTTATCTTACTGCTTTCTTTTGTTATTTTAGCATTCAGTGAGCACCTACAGATTTTCAACTTTGCTCTAGGTTCTGTTAAGCCATATGAATTTTTACTTAGAAAGATGTTATTTGCAGGCCTGAAGCAATTATAAATTCTCACTAGATAGTAAACATCCTTCAGCTGTCTGGAATGGGAGATCACATGCAAGGTATTCTGAGCTGTTTGATGGGAACATAGTACAGTTATGTGATAAAGACACAGCACTGTTCAAGATGCAGGTCAAGTAAATGAAAAGACACCTGTCTGGCAATATTAACCTGTTTGAAGTCTGCTATACATGGGAACAGCGTTAGCGAATACTAGAACAAATGCTGGTGTTTGCAAAGGCACATTAGATGCTTTAAAATTCAAGTATAGAGAATCAATTCCAAATGGAAATCTTTCCAAACACTCTTATTACTGCATCATGTTACATTATATTAATATAAATGTGACATTAAATTGCCACAGGATTTCCATTGTCTTTTAATAGGTGACAATGTGCTCTATTTGTCCCCCAGAGTTATGTCTGCACAACCAGTTCAAAGTTTATGTAGCAGGAAACGTAACAATAAAAACTAGTGGAAATCAATCTGTGCTGAAACTCTTGTTGCTGGCATTTGAAATTTAAGCTAATTAAAGAAATTGAAACAAATGATGAAATACAAATGAAACAAATGATTAAATTCTTAATATTCTCTATTAAGAATATGAGAAGGTCTGGAAAAATGTCTCTTTAGTTCTACTCTGAGGCAACAAAACAAAACAAAAATACATATCTAACCACAATGTTGTAGATTGCTGTAACAAATGAAAAAGTTAATTCCCTGATTGAACTCTTCAAGTTTAAGTCTTGGATGCACTCAGACAAAGCTAGATTAATGCAAGTTTCTTCCAAACATAAATGTCAGCTTGTTTTTTGCTGCAAGAAGAATGTCACCAGCTACTTCATGTTTCACCCTAAGATTAATAAGCAGTTTAAACCTAAGGCCAGCCTCCTGCAACCAAAGCAGGAAACAACAATCAAACAGTACACACTATTTAGGGAACATTAGATGGTGTGAACAATTCCAAAGCAGTCAGGCAAAAATATTCAGAGGAGGGGGCATCCATGCAGTCCACGGTCACATTTCATAATAATCAGGGTTTCACCTTGATATAATACTTGAATTTAATCTGTAATTTGTCTGCAAAGCAGACCCTTCAAGAATTCAAGTCTATTTTTAAAGATAATGACCGTAACAGACAAACATGGGAAGATGAACATTTTCAAGCCCTCATGATTCCTCCTCGGGCCAGCAATCATGCAGTATCAGATGGAAAGAGAAACAGATTGTTGGTTTGCTTTCTTTCAGGCAAAGCTCCACCTTTGTTAAGAAGAGGGCAAAACAATGAAAAAGGACCAACCTAAACATAGCAAACTACTTAAGCTCTTCTATAAGAAACAGAAGAATAAAATACTGCATACAGATGCTAGACTCCCATGCTCCCCAAGTTAATAAAAGTATGTATTGTATAAACAAAAGTAAGGAAGGAAAAAATTGTTGGAACCAGTTAGGAGATCACACTAAGGCACAAACAAAGCACCTCCAGACCCTCCATCTTGGATGCGGACCCTTCAGGCCTGCCTGTTTCCCTCCCTCCCCCACCAAAGAAACTCAGGAGCCTAAACACAAAGCCAAGTCTGAAATGAGGCAGACATCACACAGCCATCAATGAAAGCTGAAATAATTCCAGATTCCAGATACCCTCAATTGTTCATTTGTAAGGGGAAAGCTCTTTATCATCCACCTCCCCAGATTATCTTCCACACAGTTTCTCTTTCCTCTGCAAACACTTTGCCTCCCCTTCCTCTAGCTTCAATTGCCTTAAGCTTCTGTCCTCTCATTCTGGAAAGAAAAGAAGGGTCCCCCCTCCCAATGAACCAGCTGTAGACAGAGTTTATTCCTAATTCTGCATAGCAATCCCTCCTCTGTCAGCCCTTGAGTGCTCCCTGCCCAAAACACGCACGCATGCACACACATGCACAGACAAACCCCCAGAAGCCCCTTCCACCCTTGAGCATTTTTTCCACAACGATCATCCATCTCATCAAACTGCCCCAAGACCTCTTTCCCTTCCTTCTTAGGAGACTTCAAATTCCATTTCAAGTACTGCTCCCTACTCTTTTCACCCCTAAAACACAACCTAAAAGACCTCAAAATCCCTCCTGCTCAAAAATACAGCTCAGTTCCCAGTTTGCACTGCAATACACCATCAACATAAAGGAAAGCCCCCACCTGCACTCTGTACCAGTTTGACCTTTGCATCTCCTAAATGACTCCCTAACAAATAGCTTAAAACAAGCTATATATATCTGTTAAGGTACTACCGCCTCTATTTATGAGACCTTTATTCCAATAACTCAGAGCTTTTAATTCCAGAATCCAAGGAATCCACACCTCCATGTTCAAAGATAGACTCTACCCTACAGCACCCCCCACTCAATTTAGCTATAAATTTAAAGAAAAAAGTACAACAGAAAATAAGGAGCCTATACAGGAAAGAGTACAACCATGCATACTGGCATTCCTTAAATCTCAATAACCTAAACAACACAACAGCAATTACAAGAGGAAAAAAAGGCAAAATCTTCCCACAATTGCTCCCAAACCTGCGAGCCATTTATCAGAACTCCTTTTGCTCCCACACCTTCGGGTCCGCTAAGTGACCCCCCCCACCCCCCCCACCAAATTTAGGTGCGGAAGGGGGTGGGCGATGCGGGTGGGGTTAGCCACCCATCCTGGCGTGCCCCTTGCCCCGCACGGGTAGCTTCGTATTCCAGGAAATTTTAATTCAGCGATTTGCAAGCCACTCTGATTTAAAACTCAATAATCAGAGGACAGGATTCAATCGAACCACGTACATGCCCAAAATAGCTCCCGACACCCCCGGTTTTGACAGGAAGCCCGGCGGCTGCCTTGCCCGCGCTCTCCTCCTCCATCGCCAACGGCCCGAGGCTCCTCGGGAGACCCCGCTGGGTCCCCCCCCACACTCCGGGGCTGCATCCCTCCCTCCAGGGCACCCCCAGCCCCGCGATCGCCCGAGCGGCTCCGCTACACGCGCCGCCCCGCAGCTCGGCACACGGCCCCGTGCCCATTTCTCGGCCCCGTCCTCACCCTCGAGCAGCCGTTGGATGATGCTGTCGATGTTGAGTTTGTCAATATCCGCCATCGCCTCTCAGCGGCTGGGGACGGAGGGAGGGAGGGAGGGAGCGAGCGAAGCCGGGGCCCCCCGGGTCGACCTCCGCCGCGGCTCCCCCGCCCCCGAGCCGACCCTGCCTTGCCTCTTCCCACCACGTTTCGCCTCTCGATCTCTCTTCCCACCCCCCGCCCGCCCCACTCGGCACAATCTTCCTCTCCTCCCTTTCTCCCTCGCTGCCTCCAGCGGGGAAGTACGAGCGGCGGCGGCGGCAAACAAAATGGCCGCCTTTTCCCTCCCCTCGCAGGAGTTACCTCCTTCAGCCGCGCACGGATACGAAAGGAAGCTGCAGCCGGGGACTTCTTTCTGAGGCAAGAGCGGGAAGATTGAGGGAAGAGCCACGCGCCCCGCTTCTTCGGCTCGCGCTGCCGGTGCGCTCGAGCGCGCGCGCGCGCGCGCGGACACACACGCGTCGCAGTACGCTCTCTCGCGCGCTTCGATTCTTCCGCCTGCGAGAGGCTGAAGAAAGCGGGGGGAGGAAAAAAGGTCTCTTCTTGCCCTCCTTCTGGCTAAGGGGTTGTTTGTTACGAGGTCGAAGGGAGGCCCCTAAAAAGAGGGAGAGGAAAAAATGATGACGGCGCATTCCTTATTAAACTTTTCTGCTTTCGGGGTGATAACAGAGTACATTGGAGCATGTACAGAGTTCGGTTTTGAGGGGGATGTGTGTGTGATTAGCAGAGTCATCGGGAACACCCCATTCACCTTTGAAGTGACAGATGTGAAGACACCTTTGAGGTGTGAGGAGTTGTCGATATGATAAACAGTTTGTCATATGAGGGATATAAAGGCTGAAACGAGTTGCAGTGTTAGGAAATGGGGGAGAGGGGCTGCTACACTCCTATGTTGTTTGTGGACTCTGGAGGCAGCTGGTGGGCAACTTGGCGAGCAGATGGACCCTTAGTCTTACCCAACAGGGCTCTTACGCTCTTGGGAAGCACAAAGCACCAAAAGATCTATCTTTCCACCAGTGGGCTAAGAGAATGGTAATTATTGTGCCACTCGCTCAATTAAGTTGGCCAAAAGGTTTTCTCCCACATACAGGGCTGAGATGAAGAGATGAGGAAAAAGCTTCCATCATACGTATTTTCCTCATCTTTGGAAAGGGTGGACTTCACATACAGGCAATCAAGGATGCAGTAGGGTTTGCAGTTTCCATAAGCAGGTTCGAGGACAAAACCAAGCCATAATAACAGTTCATATAGAATGCAGGACTTTTGCTTAGATGAAGAGTGAGCTGCTGATGGAACCAGCTGGTAGTTACTCTGGCTTAGTAACTCCAGATGTATTCCAGGAGATCATTGCTTACCAATAATAAAGCTCAAGTCTCAATGCTGGTAATACCATCCTCTAATCTGAGGCCTTAACCCCAGTCCCTCCTCCTATATTGCAATAAAACAACTGCAGCTCTGTATCTATTCAAGGGCACTTCCTCCTTTTCTTCCTATCCAGATGGGTGTGCTCTTTCATATTGACCCACTAGTGAGTACATTTTAATCCTCTTTGTTTTTATTCTGGAAGCTACAGAAATCAGTCAGGGAAAAGTCAAAGAAAACCCAAATCATTTAAAATCAGCTGAGTGTTGATAATAAAGATATATAATTACACTGACAGGGAGGAAAAAATGCAATGTTTCACCACTTTTTTGACTGAAAGTTACTTCATTAGCTTATTTAATACAACTTTAATTGGTAATTGATGTGATTGATTAATTGATGTGTGTTTTTTGGAACAGAAGTCAAGTCAGCAATGCCTCTTTCTTTCTCCTTCAGGGCAAATGCCTGTGTACACACACTGGATCCTTACCGCTGGCAGTTATATAATAACATTAACCGTAACCATAACATCTCATTATCACTGGTGGAGCTAGCAAAACTAGGGGTTCAGGCTGGAATGATGAGACTGAGAAAACTGCAGGGTCAGCTCACCTTGAAGCAAGTCAGAGTCGGAGCCACAAAGCTGTGCTAATCTGCAGTTTAGGCAAGTACCATGGACAATTTACAGACTATTATGCTTTCTAGAATGAAAAAGTTCTGAAGTAAGCCTGTATTGCAAATGCTCATGTTTTGGTGAGTGGAGGAAACCGCTCGAGCTAATCTATAAAAAAGCCCTATGGAAGAGAACAAGACAGGCAGAAGTGTAGCTAATGCCCGCTGAATGTCAGTTGCTCACTCCAGGTCCTGCCACATGCTTAGGTGGGGCTGTGCAGGCACGCACAGGTGAACTGTAGTCCATGAGTATCATGTGTCATAATCCGTCAGTCTTACGACACCACAAGGTTTTTTGTCATTTTTGTTATTGCAGATGTAGCCCAGTGAGCCCTCTGTGCCTTACAGACTGTAAGAGGAAATGCTCTGAGTAACTCTTGCATCTTACTCATGTCTGTTTAGTTTAAGGACTTGGTGAACCACACATTTTCTTTCCGTTATGTCACACATGCACACAGCTCCTAATCTAGTTCTTACGAGACCTCGTCACTTACGCAGCTCCTACTTCGTACTACTAATCCTCCTTGCCTATTGTTTTTGCATCTATTGGGCATTGGGTTCATTGGCTTTTCTTTGTCTGTTCTTCCTGAATGTGGGAAAAATTTCTGTCTGATTTATCATAGAATAGTAGAGAATAGAAGGGGCCAAGAAGGCCATCAGGTCCAAACCCCTGCTGTTGCAGGTCACCAGTTTACATCATCCCACTCAGATGACTCTCCAGTTTCTTGTTTATCATTTCTGAAAACATTTATATCCTTTTGTTTGTTTGCTTATTTGTTTCTATAATCAAACTCCCACAAGAGGGAGTTCTCAGTTGACTCAGGGGAATCCAGAAGTTTTCAGAAGTACAAAAACCCTAGTTGGGTGCGAGGGAAACCCTATGGGAAAAAAAATTCTCAGAGCAACCCGGTAAGAATGGTCAGTGGGCACAGAAAGCCGACGGGCTGATTGGGAAAGGTGGTGGAAAAGTGGAAAAGGGCATGGCTGGAACTCCTAACAGCAGCACTACATGTGGCATCATTTCGTTGCAGGTTCCATTTTTACAATTTCATATGGGAACTATCTGGAATATTAGAATTTACTTATTATGGTGTGGAGGCAGTTCACTATTGAATGGTCACTTGAAGAGTTCTGTCCTGTCTCTTTTCACTTCCAAAGCTTACAAAAGGTCTGCATGACTAGAAGTAAACTGGTTGTAACCAGAGGTGCTGTCTATTATCTAATAAGACACTGACTGACTTGTAGATGGGGGAATGATATCTAATAGTTCACCTAGTATCATGGACCCAATTTCAGTCAATCAGTGTGGACTTCTGGCAAGAATGATTGTCCCTTCCATGGCAGCTCTTGGGGTAGGGAGAGAAAGAGTTGCCAGAAAGAGAGTCATACAGAAATGGGATTGGCATAAAGAGAATAAAAAGGGGTAGCCACACCTACTTTTGATATCCACCATTGTTATGTGCCCCCTACCTGCAAATAACCCCCAAGGGAATCTGCAGCCTTCAAGCGAAAAAATAATGGGGTACCCACCCCATTATAGAAGATGGGAAGTTGGTCAATCACGGAATGAATTTTTTTCTACCAACCCATGTGCTTATTTCCCTTCTCATTTCCTCATATTAGGATAAACTGGCTGGATTTCAGGCTGCTGATACTGCTATGATACACATACTCAAACCCATTTTAATAGATAAAATCTTTTGTTCAGAGACCCATGAATGAATAGATTTCGAAGTATCCTTGCATTCAGCCAGAAACCAGGATTCGACTCTCCCAGCAAAGAAAGCCTTCAGTCCATTCACAGATCTTTGACATTCCATCTCCTGCCTGGTTCTTCTTATTCCTTCACTTTCAAGTTGTTCCATGAAAAATGATTAAGCGAGACAACATCTTTCTCAGCTTCTGTATGTTTGCTGAGATCAGAGAAGACATTTATCCAGCGAACAGTGGCTTCTGAATTAAAGGCCTCACTCAACAGCTGGGACATGCCACTTTGGGAGGAGTTGGATTTTTAAAGTCCTTTTACAAGATGTCACATGCATGTGGGTGCACCATTATTTGGCTTGCTTCCTTCCATGTCCAGGGTCAAACCTCTGTCAGCCTCAAAACCAAGTTCAGTTTGGAGGATGCTTTTCAGTTCCAGTTGTGGGAGGTGCCAAAGGCACAAGCAAAAGGGGCAAAAAGATCAGCATAGTTTAGTCTAATGGTGCAATCCTACGGGTGTTTAGGCAAAAAAAGGTTCTGCAGCTGCCAGCATTTTCCAGTTAGTAAGATGCTTTTCTATCTAGACATGCATCCTAAAGAATTTGCCACCAGAAGCCAGGGAGAAGCCGTTTCAGCCTTTTAAAATGAGTGATGGGGAAAGAATGCAAAAATGATGAAGCCATCAAAAGACTGGCCATGGGAAAAAAGATACAGAGCCAAGGGAAGGACTAACCAGAGAGGGCCAGATTGGAATTGCAGGTAGGCACAGTTTGCATTGGCCAGTTCCTTGGCCAAATGTCCTGGCTTTTCCTGCTTGCAGTCCTGCACAGACTTCATTCCCAGCCTCTTGATCTATTGGTGCACAGCAATTGTTCTAACAGTGCCCTTAATTAAGTTTTCGAAACTGTGCTCATTCTGACAGACAGATCACCTTGATTATAGCCGCAGCATTCTTGTCAGCTCCTGTCCATTAGCTGGATCTTCCTTTGGAGAGAAGGAGCTCCCCTGAGGAATATCTTGGATGATTCAGGATGCTGCAATCCTCTATTCTTTGAGAGTCAGCAGCCAGTTCACTTGCTCAGAGGTGCATAAAGAGTTCAGCCATTCAAGGTGACCAATATCCAATAGATTGTGATCTTCCTATCAGCACTTAGTTTTGATAGGAAGTAGTTCAGCTCTGCTAACAGATCACCGTGATTATAACAAAGTTTTAGCTCCTGTTTACTGGAGGTCTTAAAAATGGCTATGGTAGTTTGGAACAAGGACTATTTAAGTCAGGGGTGGGCTACTTCTGGCCCCTGCAGATGGTGCTGGAGGTCACCTTCCCTCAGCTTTTGTTGTCATAACACATTCCGCAACTTGTGAAGGGCAGGGCCAGCATCAGAATTAGGCCTGGTTGGTCCCTTGCC